ATATATATGTATATAAACACACACGCGCACACACACACACCAAAGTGTTATAAAAATATATATAAAAGTGTAGGGGTTAGATATATAAATACATAAGAATTATATGATATGCTTGTAATTTTCCCATAAAAAGAATCCGATTCAAATGATTCTATCAATTAAGACATCATTGAGTTAAAATCAATTCACAAATTTTCCCTTAAAAAAGGAATTTTGAAGGCTAACTTGATGGAATAATCTTAATATTCACTTCCATTTTATTGTTAAGAAAAAAAAAGAAATTTATAAAAAGGTTCAAAAAAAGATTTTTTTTGTAATGAGAACATTTACATTCCTTCAATGGAATGTTTTAAAGATTGTTCATTTATTAATAATTGAAATATAATTTAATTTCAAATTGATAAATCATCACAACTAAATCTGAAGTACATGATAAATGCTCTACTCCGATAAAGCCGAGAAGAAAATGACTCGAGTTTTCTACTATGGACAAAATCGTCTTTCAGGCTCACTTAATAAATCCGACGCAGAACGTGAAGGAAGATCATGCTTGCCTGCCGTTCTTTCGGCTTATATTCTCCCCAAAATAGGCTCTTTTTCAATACTATTTACCTGGCTCGTTTTTTTTTTCTAGAACCTTGGCCATGGAGAAAGAAGAAAGAGGGAGGGTGGAAGCCCTTCTTTTCTCTCTTCAATTCGACTCGAGGAGCAGATAACTGAAATCCAGCGGTCAGACTGTCTTGAACTCCGTTTTCTCCTGATTTGTGTTGCGGCAGGAGGAAGATGCTGGAGTTGTTGGAGTTTCTTGTTTCAAATTCTCTCCCTACTTAAGGATTTGCTGTGTTCGTCTTGTCATGGCCAAACGAGTCTATCAAGCTTGGAAAGGGAGCAATGTAAGAATCTTACACTTTAATAACTTCTGAATTCGCTGCTCCATGAGATTTAGGACAGAGTTACTAAAAAGTGTATGTTGACTGAACTTGGTTTGACTGATTCGGAGGCTCCCATGGGGGATTAGCATGCCGTGCTTCTGTGTTCGGGATTTATGATAATTTTTTTGTGCATGGTGTGCTTTATCTTGGTAGAATTGACCGCCTGGAAACATGTAGGTTTTATCCTTAATTGTAGGGACCGATGTGGTTTGGTTGTTGCCCGTTGATTCTTTCGTCTAATTTTCTTATTTATTTACTTCTTTGGGATTTAATTTGTTGTTTGATTGCTTAATCTGGTTTTTCTGGCTTCATTTTGGTTGTGATAGCACATATGGTTTATGAACTTTCTTTGTTGTTAGAGAAGCAGTTATACTAAATGTGCTTAAAAGTTGTTTTTTGGTCATTATCATCCTATGCATAGTACAAAATACCAGTTAAATGGAGTATGACTGGGCTGGGTTACTTGAATTTCAATTGCTTCTCATAGTAAATTCTACAGACTTATATTGGGGAAACCTAATCTTTGTAGCCTATTTTGTTACATGCCTTATACAGTTTATGTAACTTTATAAAAGCTGTACTGATGCTGCATTGTTGTAGTCTGTCTAATTTATGCTGAAAAAATAAGAAGTTAGAGGAATTAGGGGCTGAAAATAGGAGTTAGGATTTAATAGTGAAGGAAGAGACTGAGAAGATGCGCCTGAAAATTAGGAAGAGGATTATAAGGAAATTTTCTGCTATAAAATCTATTCAGTGTTTCATTTCTTCTCCATTTTGGCTTTTTAGTATTTTGCCATTTGGCAAGCATATTTGAATTTAAAAAAATTAATAATTAAAATTATATTAAAAGTATCAATAGAAGTTGGATGATTTCAAAGAGAGATACCTGTAAAAGCTATTAGCTATTGTATTCATTTTAGAATAAATTTATTACTGCAGTCCTTGTTTAACTTTGAGTTTGAAGCAGACAAACTACATCCACTCTGGCCTCTGGACATAGTACACCTAATATCTAGTGGAAACTTGACTTTGTGAAAATGGCGATACTATCTTCGTCATCATTAGACTTGTACTAATAATTTTGTTTAAGCTTTGCAAATTTCTTCTGATACAAAGGAATTATTTAAAAGTTTAAAGCCACTAGATCGCTACTTGAAAGAATATTAAATATTAAAATTACAAATTCTTAGCTTTTATGCAAATATCAATAACCCTGGAATCAATTGAGACGCCTTTTTGAATTCTATGATTCCTTAAAACCTGCTATATTTAAATTATGCTACGAGTTACACATTAATGGTTGATATTTGTGTTTAATGATTTTAAGATTTAGAATTATCTTTTTATTAAATATTAGATTTTATTTAGAAAATGAAAGCAGGGTTGACTTTCTCATGAATTTAAAATTTTTGTATTTGATTTATGCTAGAATTGAAGTTATTAACCAAGTTCTACAGCAACTATAAAAAAGTTCAGATGTCCACTTGTCTAATGTGAGAGTAGTTTTGATGGATGGAAGTTACACCAAAAATAATACATTTTGCATGTTAAAGACTTGGTTATAATTCACCTTCCTAAGCAATTTTAGTATAAACGCATCATCCAAAACAAGGGATTGCCATATGATATGCAACGAATGGGAAGTGAACATTTTTCATTAGACTGCCAAGGAAGGTGTTTGTCCATGCATATTTGATTTGGAATTGGGCTGCAGAAGCCTCATGAAACTAATAGGAAAAAATTTCATCAACTCGAGCAAATTCCCAAAAATATCCTTTCATAATGTTATGCTTGTAGTAGAGTGGGAATGCTTCCAAATTAGGCTTTCTGATTTTTGGACTTTGCGAAATTTTGTTATCAAGAATTGTGTTGTTTTGTCCTTGACCTTAGGCTCCATTCCTTTTCGATCTATGTGCTTCTCTGATTACTCTATAAGGAGTTTTTTTAGGATATTGAATATTCTTGAAATATTTATCTTTTATTTCTTGCTCACTCTAGTTGGCTAGGTTTCTTAGAGGATTTGAAAGACTTGACATTGTATACGGGAATAAGATTTTCAATTTGACATAGTTTTTGTGTAGTGAGATTCTTGGGTTTTTTCTCTTTTCTTCTTTGTACATAAGTGTGTTTGAGTTTTTGGAAAAAGTTTTGGCGTGCGCTCTTATGTTTACACTACGATTTCAATTTTTTTGTCAGTTAATTGGATCCTCCCACCACTATTATGGACGTAGGCTTGTTTGAAGTTAAAACATGTAAACCTTGCTGTTTTTGTGATTGTATGCTATCTTTCTCTTTTGCATTTACTTTGGGTGTATTATATCAATCATGGTTATAGCTTCATTTTAAAGTCTTTTTGTGTCTCCTATTAGAATAAATTAATATTAGTCTGTAGTTCTAAAATAAGGAATTTGAAATTTGAGATTGAGGAGTTTGCTGGGTCAAAGAATTTTGACCTTAAGTTAAATAAGATTTGTGGGGTTCTTGTCCTACGAGATTTGATAACAATACTTATGGGATGTTAGATGATTCAAAAATGAAGAGTGAAGGCTACATAGTGATGGATGAATTGCACTTACAATGATCCAAATTCGTTTGGTGGATGAGGCCTTTAAGGAGTCAACACCTAAAGGTTTATGGATAAAGTTGGAGTTATTGATAGCTTTTCTAATAAACTCTATCAAACTAAATGTTGTTTTTGTTTCTTATACGAGAAGGTATGCTAATTAAGTCACACCAAAATCAATATTTAGTCTATTTATGATTTATGAAATGTTGATGTATTTGTAAATGATAAAGGTTGAACTTTATTATTTTGTTATTAACTTTCACTTATAGGTTTTTTTGTGATTATAAGTTGTTTAAAAGAGATAACAAGAACTTAAAAGTTGTGAATAATTATTTTTCATTAAGGAATGTAACTTATAAGCTAGATTTTGTTGACAAAGAGAATCATCACGAATGATTGCTCATGAGGGGATAGCAATGGAGAATTGGTCTATGTTTAAAATCAAGTCTATTGGCAAAAATAAGATTTATTTTTATTGTAGGAACTAAGGTCACATCAAGAGAGATTATATGGCTTTGAAGAAAAGATAAAAATTATTATGTATGAAGCATCTGAGAATAAGAAATAAGTTGCAAACACAATTGATATAAATTATGGTGCTGTTCTTTTTGTGACTACTGGTTATATGCATAATGACTAGTGAGTACTTGACACATCATGATCTTTGCATATGCATCATAATAGTTGTTTTATTTTCTAATTTTAAAGCATGTAATAGGCATGAATATAGGACTGTAGGCTTGGGCATTTTGTATTGGGAGTTTGGGACACATAATTGATGTAGTACATAAGTTTTTTGGGATGCTGAGATCTTCAATCTTTGTAGGGTGAGAAAACAATCATATCATTGATATTAACACATGCATGTGCATTTTCAATTTGAATAGTATTACTTTTTAGTGCGACATTTGTGCTATTGAAGTCTATCACATGTATTCAGTATGTGGCTTTTAGGTCTGACCAGTTTGCATGATGCTAAGAGCTTTAGATCTTTTGGTGCTTATAATGGCTGGTTTGGAAAAAGATGCAAAAGAGATTTTAATTTGCCACAACGTTGAGTCAGGGGAAGGGCGCCGAGAATCATTCGACAGGCATGAAGTGAATTCCCAAAAATATCATTGTATAATGTTACACTTGTTTTAAAAATAAGAATACTTCTGAATTAATATTCTTGATTCTTTTGTTTTGTGAAATCATGTTCTTGAGAATTACACCATATGATATATGACACATGGTCTTAATAGTTACATTTGGATCAATTCTTCTGATATTTCAGAACTTTAGAAGCCTTTATGTCCCTCTTTCCTCTTTTTTTGGGAGGTGTGTTTTCTTTAGAGGAATTGGAAAAGTTGATGGTGTTTGTCATAAAAAGATTTCTTATATGAGATAATTTGTGTGATGATATTCTTAGGTTTCTTTCTTGTTTTTGCATGAGTATACTTAGATTTTTGGAAAATGCACTTTGTGAGTGCTTATATTCTGTGCACCACAATTTTAATTTTGTTTGTGTATTAAATCGCTAATGGTTATATGCTTTGCTTAAGGCATGTCACATATATGTGCCTTTTTGGTTATATGTTTATTTCACATACATGTCACATATATGTGCCTTTTTGGTTTTATGTTTACTTCACTCGCATCATTCTCAATCTTGGTTGCTGCATTAAATTCAAATTTTTTGATGCCCCTAGCTACAATATAAAATACTATGCTATGGGATAGTGTGGAGTAGGAGTGTAATTATTACCGAATAAAGAGAGAGGAGTCCATTGCTTTGTTCTTGTGAACCATGCCCTTTAAGGCCTTGAATGCTTCTGAATGTGTGCCCCAATAAAAAAGGGAATGGCTCGCATAGCCTATTCTAGCTGATAATTGGATGCAGGGAGAGAGAAATGTGTAGAAAAATCATTCTATTTTTTTTCAAGAATAATTTCAACATTCTTCGGCCAATCTATATCTATCTTCATTTCCAACTAAATGTATTTAATTAAAATCATTATTTTAACTTATTTTTATCCTGTCAAATTGCGGATAACTAGAGCTTAATTCGAAAAACACTCCATTGGATCCCTCATTAAAGGGCAACAAACCATTTAAAAATAATTGGAAAAATTTGAAAGATACTATTGAACGTTTATTGATTTGCTCCTCATAAAATTCTTTCTCATCCTAATTTATTCATCCACACCTAATTTTGAAATTTCAATTTTGTTTTTTATTTCCACCTTAATTTTTTATTTGCAAATCTATTATTCTAAGGTTAAACTTTCAATTTATTTTTTTGTTGAGAGCCTCTTGAATCAAGACTCACCTTTTTATGCCATTTTCTTTTACAAATGCAATTAATCACTGAGCAATGATAATTTAGAAATAAGGTCAATACTTAACTAATAAT